CACTCCCCCCGCTGCCAGGTTCAAGCCATTCCCCTTGGCCTGTCCCTACATCCCTTGTCCAAAGCCCCTCTCCAGGTTTCCTGGAGCCCCTTCAGGCACTGGAGCTGCTCTAAGGTGTCCCCTTCAGGAGCCTTCTCTTCTCCAGCTGCCCCAGCCCAGCTCTCTCAGCCTGGCTCAGGGCAGAGCTGCTCCTCATTCAAGCCAAAACCAACACAATGACATTCTAGACCTGAATTCTCAACCTGGGTGCTCCAATGCTGCAGTGATCGGGGTGTCCCTGCTTCATATGAAACATGGGTTAGTGGTGGCCTTGGCAGTGCTGGGGCGAAGGTTGGACTTGATCTTAAAGGTCTTTTCCATCCTGCTTGATTCCTTGATTCTATGAAACAGAATGGCCAAGCTCAAGGTCCCCCAAGCTAAATACTATATTTCTATAGCTATATACAAAAAACAGGAAGGAAAATTGGACATGAGGTCAAAAGGAGGTCCTGGGTGTCACCAGGATCTCTGTTTCACACCAAGGGATGCTCAGGGCCCCACCACAGCTCACCTGCAGCTCTGTCTGCTCATCCAGTGCCCTGAGCAGGGCGATCTGCTCCTCGTTGCTGGCAGTGATGCGGAGGACCTGGTCCCTGCAGGGAGGCAGAGCCATCAGCACGGGACGGAGTCACTGAAGCAGGGGAAGGAGCAGAGCCTCCAGCACCGACGTGGCCCCATCATGGTCTGGGTGGAGGCTGTGAAAGGTCTGCATTGGCTTGGTGGGTTGGAAAGTGCATCACTGGGTGGAGGTTTGGTGTTGAGAGTGAAAAGTGCAGGTTCAGAACAGCCACAATGGGAAAAGAGCAAGTGCTGGAGAGCCTGAGGTGGTCTCCATCCTTCCTTCGATCGTGAGAGCTCCCAGAATGTTAGGAAATAGCTTATATATCAATATATTCTGTATCATAATATCATAGAATCACAGAGTGGTTTGGGTTGAAGGGACCTTAAAGCTCCTCCAGCTCCAACCCCTGCCCCGGGCAGGGACACCTTCCACTAGAGCAGGTTGCTCCAAGCCCCTGTGTTTGGTATTTCCTAGCACAGCTTCCACTCCCGCCGGGCTGGGCTGCACAAGGACGGGTCAAACTACATCTTTCCCAGCGTCCACACAGCCAAACCTGCTGGATGTCACCCCTTTGGGATGTCACCCTTCTTGCTTGACCCCAGAAGAGAACAGACAGGTCTGGGTATCTCTCACCCTGGTCCCCATCCCCACCCATGGGACCCCCTCCCCTTGCTTTCCGCAGGACTAAACCCCCGCAC